GATTTTTCTCTGTTTATTACTAAATGTTTTGTTTGTCTTTGAATATTAGATTACAATATATCTGTCCGACCTCATAGAATTGCATATTTAAATGTTTTGGTTTGATTGGTTACTTATGATCGAGTAAAGTTATAATTATTATTGTGTATTGGAAATGGTAATCGATAATATTATTGATGAAGTATCGACACAATATATACAAGAGGTGAGGTCAATATACAACGGTAAGAATATTAAGTGAAGAGTGATTATAGGAGATGATTGGGATATGACGAGATATGGAGAATATGTGTTTCCATATTTTATCACACCCCCTCAAGACGCACGGCCAGGTGAGAGTCCGATCTTGACAGCAAGTGTTTGGAAGCGAGCGCGGGAGAGCGGCTTTGTGAGAACATCAGCTAACTGATCCGCAGAAGTGACATGAGTTACCCGCAGCTGGCCCGATTGAACAAACTGTCGGACAAAATGGTAGTCTAAAGCGATATGCTTCATCCTTAAATGGAAAACAGGGTTTGCCGCCAAATATGTAGCTCCGATGTTGTCACAATAAATGACTGGAGTGGAGGTGACATTGATGCCCAATTCGGAGAGGAGAGACGAAATCCAGCAAACTTCAGCAGTGGTAGACGCGACAGAGCGGTACTCAGCCTCAGTAGAAGAGCGGGAGACACCGGTTTGTTTCTTCGAGGACCAAGCAATGGGATGACTTCCGAGGTAAACAATATAAGCACTTGTGGATGTGTAGTCGTCTTTGTTTCCCGCCCAATCAGCATCGGTAAAGGCATGGAGGTCTGGTTTGTTGTTTGCGCGTAGGTGGATGCCGTGAGACATAGTACCAGAGAGATAGTGAAGGATTCTCTTTACGGCTGTCCAATGTTCAGTGGTCGGGCGATGCATGAACTGAGATAGTTTGTTGACAGCGAACGAAATATCTGGCCTGGTGAGGGAGAGATATTGAAGACTTCCCACTATGGTGCGGTATTCTGTTGCATCATCTAAGGCGTTCCCGGAGAGAAGAGTGAGCGATGAGTTTGCTTCCATTGGCGTGGATACGTGTTTTGCATTGGTCATGTTGGCCTTGTGCAATAAATCTGCAATATACCGATGCTGTGTTAGGTGTACACCATCTTTGTACGAGTTACCTCAATACCTAAAAAATAAGATAAATCGCCTAAATCTTTAAGAGAGAAGCGTTGAGAAAGGGAAGCGATAAACCGGGAAATATGAGAGGAACTGTTGCCCGTGATGATGATGTCATCGACATAAACAAGCATGTAGAGAAGAATATCGTTCTGCTTATATATGAACAGGGAGGCATCGGCAACTGAGTTGGTGAAGCCGGATTGAAGGAGAAACGTGCGGAGCTCATTGTACCAAGCTCTCGGAGCTTGTTTAAGACCATAGATGGCTTTATGGAGTTTGCAGATGGCTTGCGGATTGTCTTTGTCCTGGAAACCAGGCGGTTGGGTCATATAAACTTCATCTTGAAGATGTCCTTGAAGAAAGGCATTGTTGACGTCAAGTTGTCGCAACGACCAATTCCGGGAAACGGCTGTGCTTAGCACAATACGAATAGTGGCTGGCTTGACGACTGGGCTAAATGTGTCTTCGTAATCAATTCCAGGGCGTTGGTTATAGCCTTTGGCAACGAGGCGGGCCTTGTATCTGTCAATGGTCCCATCAGCCAATCATTTGATTGTAAACACCCACCTGCAACCGACAACATTAGATGCATTAGTAAAACGAACAAGATCCCAAGTATGATTTCTAATATGTGAATTGATCTCATCACTCATGGCTTTACGCCACCGAGGATCCTTTAGAGCCTCAGCTACGGTTTTAGGGATAGTCTCAGAGGTTTGCGAGATAGTGGTGTGTAAGTTGAGCCGTTGAACTGGTTTGCAGAGACGGTTGCTTGTGCGTGTTGGAGCTGGCTGTGGAGGCGGAGCAACTGCTTGTGGCTGAACCGGAGATGGAGCCGTCGCAGGAGATTGAGAAGGTGAGGGAGTCTCTCGTGAAGAAGTGGACGTGGAAGACGACGACAGTTCTGAACCTGAAACAGAGGAAGAAGAAATCAAAGGCATTAAAGCAGGGGAGCTCTGTTCTGGTGAGGGCGGTGCAGCGGCAGAAGGTACTTGATGAGTGGACTGTGGGATGACTTGAACTAAGGGATAAGAGGGTACAGCTTCAGGTTCATCGGAGATATCCGAGATCTCAATTGGAGAATTCACAGAAAAAGGAAAAACACTTTCGTGAAAAACGACGTGACGCGACGTATAAATTCGAGAAGTCGCTCTATCTAGACAAAGATAAGCACTTTGAGAGATGGAGTACCCAAGAAAGACACATGGTGTCGATCGATCATCCAACTTATGAGATGCATAAGGTCTCAACCAGGGAAAGCATAAGCATCCGAAAACACGCAATTTTTGATAATTTGGAGGATGACTATATAAGATTTGAAAAGGGGTTTTAAAATCCAAAGTTGGTGTAGGCATACGGTTTATAAGATAAACAGCCGCACCAAAGGCATATGTCCAATAAGACTTTGGCATAGATGCATGAGAAATAAGTGCTAAACCCGTCTCAACTATATGTCGATGACGTCTCTCTGCAATACCATTATGTTCAGGTGTGTGAGGTGGGCTGGTCATATGTGAAATACCGTGACTAGAGAAGAAATGGCGAAGGCCAATGTATTCACCCCCATTGTCGGTATAGAGAGTTTTTAACATGGATTGAAATCGATTTTCAACCAAATTTTTGAACGTAAGAAAAACATTGTGAACTTGTGATTTTTGTTTCAAGGGATACAACCAAGTGTATCTAGTAAAATGATCAACAAAAATAACATAGTACTTAAAACCGTCGATAGAAAGAAGTGGTGATGTCCAAACATCTGAAAATACGATATCAAGAGGTTGAGAAGATAATAAAGTAGATTTTGAAAAAGGCAACTTGTGCATTTTATTAATAGAACACGCAGAGCATGGCTGAGCCAGCAAAACATTTGAAGAAACTGGTAAATGAAATTGAGAAACAAGTTTTTGAAGAATAGAAAAAGCAGGGTGTCCTAAGCGAGAATGCCAATCTGATAAGCTAGCTTTAACAGTAGAGGCAAAAGTGAGAGATGGTGGTTTGGAGGATGGTAATTTGGGCCACTCATAAGTACCGTCCTTAGGCTTGCCTTCCAGACAAAGAGCTCCCGTTTTTAAATCCCTGACCTGAAAATATGTTGGTGTAAAGGTAACAGCAACACCATTAGTTTTACATAGTTGAAAAACAGAGATGAGATTTTTATCAAGAGAGGGCACACATAAAACATTATTTAGATGAAAAGGACGTGTGTAAGAGGGAAAAGAGAAAGAACCAGAGTGCGTAATTGGTAATGCGGAGCCATCACCAAGAAGCACATCATCACCACCACCATAGGGACTGTGAGCCAAAAGATTGTTTAAATCCGACGTCATATGGTGTGATGCACCAGAGTCCACAAGCCAGGTTGAAGAGTCAGAGAGCATCGCAGCATTTGCACGAGGCTGCCATGGCTGGAACTGTGGTGGTGGTTGCCACGGAAGCTGCTGTGGGTAGTGTTGTTGCCACGATGGAACAGAGGAGGAGCTTTTGATCATGCGAAATTCAGGGCAAAATTTGGCACTATGACCTTGTACACCACACGCCTGACATCTTCCTTTGTATGGCTTGGAGAACCGATTTTGGTTGGTGTTGGTGTGACCATAGGCAGAAGGTTGAGAAGCAGAGGTAGTATTAGAATTCTGATTGTAGTTTGTTGGACGGTGCTGTTGACGAGGACGAGCATCAGTGGCATTAGCCACAACCGGACCAACAGAAGGAGGCTGATTGCAGAGAATCATTGCTTCATGGTTCACCAGACGCTCATACAACTCACTGTATGAGATCGGATTGTCTCGTCCATTAATGGCGTCAATCTCGGGCTTGTATTCCTCACTAAGTCCAGCAAGAATATCTTCAATAAAGTCTTCCTGATCCATAGTCTTGCCAAGGAGTACCAGATCATCATATTTTGCTTTCATGGTACGAAGATACTCACTGATTGTTTTGGTGCCTTTAACGGTGGTTCTTGATCTGGAACCGGAGTTGACGGAGATGACCACGAGAGGGGTTGCCAAACGCTGTGGCAAGACTATCCCAAACCTCCTTAGTTATCGTTTCCGTGGAGACTAACGGTTGGACCGATTGTGAAATCGTACCAATGATGGCGCTGTATAAGAGACGGTCTTGACGTCGCCACGGAGCGTATTGGGGATTTGGTGTAGAGACGCCATTAACGATTGTCGTCGGCGGAGGAGCATCAGCAGAACCGTCAATAAACTGGTGAAGTTCATGACCCTCGAGTAAGGCACGAACTTGGCGACACCACATCAGATAATTCTGATTTGTGAGTTTTTGAACACTCGACATGTTCACCGACAGAAGCGTACTTTGTGGATCCTCTGTGTTGAACACAGACGTACGCTCAGCAGTTGAGTCAGAAGCCATTGATGGCAAGAAAAAGTTGCAGAGAAAAGAGAAGAACAAGAGAAGGAGAGGTATGTGTCGATAAAGAAGAAGGAGAGATAGAGAAGAGAAGCGGCGAAAGAGAAAACAGGAGAAGAGGAATAGGTTTAATCTATTGTGGCTCTGATACCATATTAGAAATGGTAATCGATAATATTATTGATGAAGTATCGACACAATATATACAAGAGGTGAGGTCAATATACAACGGTAAGAATATTAAGTGAAGAGTGATTATAGGAGATGATTGGGATATGACGAGATATGGAGAATATGTGTTTCCATATTTTATCATTGTGGATGATGGAAACATTGTGATTTTGATGCGATTTGTTGGAAAAATTTCCATAGAATCAGTTCAGTCACTTGTTTCTTATTTCGTTATCGAGCTTTTTAGATAGGGTTAGTTGGATTTGATTCCACTCTTTACCAGCCAAGACATTGTCTCAGTCGCTCTGATGGTTATCTCTATCTCTTGCCAGAGCAAAAGGACACGGGGACAGCCCTGGAGTGATGGTGCAGCCTCTACAGGTCCTACAAAGTCTTTAGAGAATTTGAATGATTCAAGTTTTGAGAAGAAACGCCAAAAAATGAAATCTTGTCTTCCATCCTCACATCCCTGCTTTGCTTCACAAGAAACTGCTTATTCTTCAAACCCACCAAATCGTAAAGATGTTAGTGTGATGACTCACAACTATGTAGCCCCTAAAGTTGGTAGCTTGAAGACTCTCAAATATGTAGCCCCCAAAGATGTTAGTGTGAAGGTTCTCAAAGATGTTGCCCTTGGCTCAACCAAAACTGGACCATTTATCCCAATTGGTCCTGGTTTCCGGGCTAAACTTCCGATTTGGATAGCCACTACCAAGAAGGGAAAATTTTATGGTAGTCCCGGAGATTCTGACACTCTTAGATGGTTGGGAACTGGTATGTGGCCAACATACAGCCTAAAAAAGAAAGCTCACTACAAAAAAGTCGGCGAAGGAAGATCTGACTCTTGTTCTTGTGCTTCTCCAAGATCAACCAATTGCGTAAACCAACACATTAAAGAAGCACATGAGCTTTTAGAAAAAGAAATTGACCGTGCATTCTATACTTGGAAGTTTGATCAAATGGGTGAAGTAGGATCAAAATCATGGAACTCCAAAGAAGAGCAAAGGTTTGAAGCTCTTCTGAAAAATAATCCTTTGTCAAATAGTCTAGGATTTTGGAAATATGCTTCCAAGGCTTTCCCAGGGAAAAGTGAGAAGGATCTCCTTAGTTACTATTATAATGTTTTTCTCATCAACCGTATGAGATTTCTTGCTAGCTCTTCTAATGACCACATCGATAGCGATGATGACCACAATGGCTACTTCTTAGTGAGATAAAGATATTTTCGATAATTGTAACCATTGCAGATATTACTCTGGACTACTGAAGGTAATTTACTCCTATGTTCTACTAGTAACTCTAGTATCCAGGTTCTTGATAGATAGTAATTCAAGAACATGTTAGTTTTCCTCCTTAAGCATTTCTGTCATGAGATTTTACAAAAACAGATCTTTATAGGGCATAACCACCTTTCCAAACGTGTTTTTCTCAAATAATAAATACATTATTTTTCAAGAATCATGGAGAGATATGTTTTGAATTGAATATTTTGAATTTGAAACCTTTATATTCTTAGATATTTGGAGGATATTAGGACTTAATGTCTAGGAATAGATTTTTTAGTCTGGATATCTCTCTGTATAAACTAACAAAACGACGTAGTTTTGTTATTTTTTAAAATTGGATAATATGCAAAACTGATATGTTAATGGCCAAAAGAATGTTTTTTTTTCTCCTAATTTAGTGTGCTTTAAGAAAAAGAAAAAAGAGAGCTTAAGGTTAGTTAGAAATGGATGTGGTGACTTTTGGAATTATAGTCGGACTTATCATTCTCTTCTTCTGCACCATCTGCTTTATCACCATTGAAGCCACTTGCAAACGCCGCTCTTCATCTAGCTAACATATATATCTTTTTTTTTTTTAATTGAACCATCTTTCTAGCTCTGCTTGCTTTATTCCTTTTTCTAGATTCTAGCATTCCTATAATTAACTCCAGAGAATCAAATGGAGTGGCGGATAGGATAGCTAAGGAGACCTTTTCTTTTGTGGATAGCGTCCGATTCTATAGTCCCAAGTTGGGTTTCTCAATACACTAAACCAAAGATTGCTCAGACCTAATCATCATTAGAGATACAATGAAAGATTTCCATTAGAAATTATATCCCAATATACCATATATGCTCAAACAACATTTCCATGAGAAATGCCTAAAATCTGGGTTTATGTAATTCTCAGAAACCCATCAGTAAAATTAGCTAAGCAAAAAGAAGATGCATAAATCTATCCCTAAACAACCTTAATCAAACCCCTAAGCACCCTAACCTACATATCTAGAACCCTAATGAGGTGACTATTCACTAATTATATTTAACTCTCTATTTCCTTTGCAAGAAGAGAAGTTAAACATGATTAGATGATGAAGAGATGTAAGAGATAGAATGATAGTGATGGATTTATGATTAAGCTCTCAAGAACTCTTTTGGATTAAGCAAGGAAAGGAGATTTCTCTCACAAAAGTATATCTTAACACAAAAGAGGCAAAAAATTAAGAGAATAAAGGATAAGTCTCATGGGTAAAACCCTAAAATGTATTTATAGTTTCTTGGTTCGACCGGGTCAGCCTAGGACAAACTAGGTACTGACTCGGCTTGGTTGGTTTCTGGCTGCGACTCGGTTCCTTCTTCTCACCCTCTGCTCCTGACTCGCAGCTTGAAGCAAATGAATAGTTCTGGTGCTGCTCCTCCTTGCTGCAGCTCAGTTCACTTGCATCACCTTAGTCGCAGCCCCAAGCGAATGTTCCCAAGGATTCATGCTGCGGCTCGGCTGACTCACAGCATTCATCTTGCAGCAAGATTCCACACTTAGAAGATTTGATCTGTGGCTTTTCTCTATCTTCTCCGGGTCTCCTTTGTTGCAGCATCACTGGCAGCATGGTTCCCAAAGCCATTCGCATGATGCTGCGACTTGGCTCAGTCGCAGCATCCAAGTCGCATCATTTCATTTTTACTCGGACCAATTCGCACTTGAGAAACCATAACGTCTGGAATACTGGTCCAAATGACTTGATTCAAAATCCAGGGGAAAGAAATCTCAATTTCCTGGAACTTTTATGAAGAGTGTGACTGTATCCTGGGAGATCAAGGCTTCCCAGTAAGCGATTCTTTGCATTGGCTCAGGAGGTTCTAGTTTCTTGCTGCGGGACATGTCTGTTTATCGTTTGCAATATATCCCAACTCAACACTCTAAATGAGATGATTCTTAGCGTTCTGGAAAGCTGACTCAAAGCTTTCATATCTTGATGAAGGCCTCGGAAACTGGATCGGAAGGGAAGGGCTTCATCCTGGGTGATCTTTGAGGCGCATCGGATTGGTCCAGAATGGTTGCAAGACAGGTTCATTTTCTGTTGGCCATATCTTTCAGATCACTGCTTCGAATCCATTGATTTTAATGTTTCTAGAACCGTGACTCAATCCTCTTGAGTTTTTTCTGAAGACACCGAAAGCTGAATCGGACGGAAAGACTTTCCGGTATCGTAATCTTTGAAGCGTATTGGCACCTGGAAATTTTGGCCGATGATCATGGACGTGGTTCAGGTTTTGGCCAACAGAATGCCACTCGCGGTAAGCTTTTTGGCCGAGAAAACCTTCATGCGGTACACTAGTTTGGCCGATAAACTCTAAATGCCTATTTTCATAATTTCTTCACCTTCTTTCACCAATTCTTCCACTGGTTCCATCTTTTCCACTCAAAATAAGCTTCAAAGCATCTGAATATCAGTCCAAACATGCAAGCCTTGGACCTAATACAAAGTCCTAAAACTCTAAAACAAAGAAAAAACTTAAAGAATCTATATAAAATGCATGCATGAGACTATTATTGGACCAAAAATGCATCCTCAACATGCAAAGATATATTAACTCCCCCACACTTATCATTTGATTGCCCTCAAGCAAACTAGAACAAATGAGAGAGAGGTTTGGAGTTTGGGATTTTGGGAGTTCACATTTCTTGAAAGAGAGAGATGATCATTAAAAGAATTCAAGCTCATGGTCCTAGTTAATAGTTCTGAAATGCAATGCAAGGAATACTCTGAATACAACAAGTTCAAACCATGATCTACACAAGCATTCTTATCCCTCATCCCTTTAACATTCATTAAGTGTAATCATGTGGATCAAAATGGTGCATATTCAAACAAACAAGCTTGGCCAAGGGTGAGGTTATGAGATAAATATGATTTCATTGATAGACATGTGGGTTTAATTCAGCACAAGGGATCTCTCAATGAAGGAATGAACTTCAACAAAATGCTAAGGGTAAAAAGCAACTGATGCATACAAGAATAGACTCCCATCTACCCAGTGCCCCAAATTGAATTCACCCTAACTCTAAACCCATGAAGAACACTCCCTAGCTACCTCTTATTTTTCCAAGGCTTTCATTGCCTTCTCAACCCATCTCTCAGTTCACTCTCATTCTCATTCTCACTAGGGGATCTTTTTCTTTTAAAAACAATAGCTGATGTTTCTCTTTTCACTTAGCTCTTTTCAATTCACATTTCATTTCTAACCTCTTTTTCATCGATTTTTGAAGCATGAGCCCTTTTGGCTTTTTTTCTTTTCTTTTCACACTTTAAGGCTTTTTCTTTTTAACAATTACAGCTTTTTCTTTTAAGACACCAGCCAAATCACACCTTGCAATCCCCTAACTCTCATCTCAATCTCTCCTTTTTCCACTCATTGATTCCCCAAGATCCCTTCCTAACCTACTCTAGTCTCATGATGCAGAACTAGATCTACATGAAACACTTTTTGTCAAGTTCATTCAAAACAAGGCCTCACATCGCTCACTAGTGTGCTTAGGCTTCAGAGGTGGCTTAGTTAAGGGCAGGGAAATTTGTCTCAATGATGGAGATCAGCTACATGGATTAACAAGGGTGGTAAAGAGGGAAAGATAATCCAAGTATGTATATGCTATCAACCAGTTCATTCAAACATGCACCACATGATAATTGAATTTCAAATTAAGATTCCACATGTATAGGGCTGAGTTTAATTCAAAGCTTTTTTCAACTAAGGCTTAAACAATGCTACACATTTCATCTCCTGCAAGCATCAAAGAACTAATAACTAGGGTCATGAACTAAACTCTTAAAATGATGCTCTCTCAAAGAAACATATCATTACTCCCATGCAAATGATGCAAACCTATATGAAATAAAATCTAGACTCAATCCTAAAATGTGAATGCAACTAAATGAACATTTTTTGTGAATAATTTTCAAATTTTTCGATTTTTTTTTTTGGTTTTTCTATGCACTTAGATGCTATGCATGAATGAATGAGACTCACAGTGCAAAAGAGAAATAACAACATAGAAAACAAATTTTTATAACACTAAACCCCTCCCTCACACTTAAATAACACAGTCCCTTGTGTTATAAAAGTAGGAGAAAGAGGAGAAAGAAACATGAAATGCAAAAGATGAAAAATGCTAAATGCGTATTTACAAGTGTTTGGAGTGATACCTGATGTGTTGTTGATGCAAAGGAGTAGTGAATATATGCATCAGATGAGGCTAGACATCACTGGAGGTGGGTTGGTTTTGATGTCACTCCTTGCTGTGACTTAGCTCACCAGCAGCACCCAACTAGCAGCCACAAGCGAATGCATTTTGTTTGGCCTGGTCTCATTGCTGCGAACTCACCAGCAGCACCTCACTCGCAGCCTCATGCGAAAGGTTTCCTTCTTGGGTCTTTTTTCTGCTGCTAGCTGGCTCACCAGCAGCCACCAAGTCGCAGCCTCATGTGAATAAAAATGCTCTTGGCAATGATCCCTGCTGCGACTTGGTTCACCAGCAGCACCTCACCAGCAGCAAAGGCCGAATCAGCTTGGTTCCATTCTCTTAAGCTCATTTCTCATCTAGTGCTGGTTCTTTTTCACCTTGTCTTTGAGCCATAAGATTTCCCTGACATTTACAACCTGAGACCACCCCACAAAACATATCAAAACATTCTACAACATAAAAAGAAAAGATTAAAAGACTATGTACAAGCATAAGATTGTGGTGTTTTCCACGAGCACTTTGTTTCAAGTCATAAAGTTTGACTTTTCATACTCTTTTCTTAGTAAGGGAGAGGGGGATCATTGATGCTCCTTGTCTTGTCCTTGAATTAAAACATGAAGCCCTTGTTCATCAGCTCTTGAACACCCTTAGATCCATTGTCTATGATTGCTTGTGTGAGGATTGCCCTGACCTCAGAAAATGGTCTCGATCC